TTAGGATTTTAACAGAAATTGGAGATACAAAAAGGCAAAAGATACTTTCCAAGTTTTTTTTTTCAAAAAAAAAAACATGACTATGTAAATTAATGAATCTAAGATCTTTCTCCAATATATGTTATTGGAAAAATGACACTGTATAGCCGCTGTAAAAATAATATTTTGGACCATATTTTTGTTAGATTATATTGGAAGATTTTGATAATTTTTTTTATATGATCAATTCTTCGGCTTCTTTTAATTTCTCTTGTGTACGCCGGTGCTTTTTTATCTTTTCTTTGCTGGAACCTAGTTAGAATATTTATAATCTCTTTTGCTCCTTTTAGGAATGGGTCATAAATTGAAGATGCAAAACAGAAAAAAGAAAAGGCAAAGAGAAAAAAGGTAATCTTCACGCTTGATTGATTGTAAGGCTGAAAAGATTTTAAGAACATTTTGCATTTACCATAATTAACCACTACAGTCACATCTCTCTACAACAATATCGTTTGTTGAATTACATTTTGCTTTTATAGTGAATAGTTGTAATACACTTATAACAATATTTGACATTTAAATATTTTTTAGCGGTTTTAAATAAAAATTATCCAAAAATTAGTTTTTGTTATGTTACATATAAAAAATAAGAAAATTATTCAAATTTAAATACTCAAAAAATATGCATATTTTACTAATTAAATATTAAAGAAAGTTAATACATTATGAATAAATTTGTAACTAAATGTACAAAGATTTAAACTATAAGACACACATTTTTAAGGTGCTAGAAGATCAAATTATTTCAAGATTGATGGAAGAACTTTATAATTGTAGGTAGATTTCAGTCTCTTAGTCGCGATGCAACGCTTGAATTGGTGATGATTTATATTCAAACTTTTAACAAAAGGTATATGATAGCTTTCCCTTAAAGGCAATTTAAGAGCTTAGCAGTTGAATCTTCTATCTCAGACCAAGTAGCATTAAGTTGAGGTCAAAATCATTATACTTATTACTGGTGATCTTAGAGATTCTACATGGCTGTTATAGATAGGCAATTTTACAAAGAGCATACTGCTATAAAGATGGATGTTGCTCTTATAGGTAAAAAAATCATTATAGAAAGACGAAATATAACATAAAAAATTAGTTCTAAGAATAACTTGGCTTTTATAGTGAATGGATATTATATGAGGATGCTGTAATAGAGAGGTCTGACTGTACTCCTTCTCCAACTTATGTAATACTTTTCATTTTTTGAGATTCAAACTTCTTAACTTTGACCGTGTATTTGAATTACATGCTTCGAAGCAAAATTGAGAAACAATTTGGTGATCAAAACACTCCAGTAGAGAAGAATATCCTAGCGTGATTCGATCAGATCATCTTCCAACTGTCCAGGAAGACTACAAATGGAACAAGGTATGCATATATTTGCTACCCAAGAAAACGACCAGATCACCTCTCAACGTTTCAGCTTATCTTTTTTTTTTGTATATATATATATATATGTATATATATATGTATATATATATATATGTGTATATATATATATATACATACACACACACACACACATATATATATATATACATACACACGGCAACCGAAGCTTTGTGTCGGAGATACAATATTTATTTGGCCCAGGTGAGTTTAAGAGTGTGTAGATTAGTAGCGTGCCTCCGATTCTTATCCTCGAAGGTCGAAGAGGGTTTCATCCTAAACCATTTCTTGCATTTGTACTCTCATTATAAGCTCTATTGTTCTTTCTCTTTGAAATCGGTCCACGAATTCTTTGAGTAATTCAGTGCTTCCTTGGTATATCATAGAGATATCCTCCGGTCATTTGAGCTCCAGTGTGCGCCTTAACAAAGACACCTGCAAGCTCAGCAAATGAATATTAAATTTTCAAGGAGAAGGGAATACTAGGTTAACACTTCTTTGGTGGGCGTTTCTCCGAACTTCTTCACTAGTACCAACTCGATCTCTAGTTTTGTCAGGTCATTCCTTTAACTCCGGTTGTATATGCTATGATATGATTCTGAGGATCTGATGTTTCATCATACTTTGGTCAATCTGACATTTTGATCTTCTATGGAATTGGCAATGGGGCACTACTCGACTTCCAGGGTTGTTGAGAGTATTTATCTATATCTATCCCAGTGATAATAGGCGGAACTCCCAAAAATTGTTCAATTTGTTCATTTTGCTCCTTGATCTATTTTTGCAAAGTCAGTATTAAATTCTATAAATTTTGAAACTTTTGGTTGTACTTGAACCTCTGGCTTCGGTGTTACTAGGAAGTTCTTCGGTTCCAGAGTTTCTCGGTGGAGAGTTAGGATTCTCCAAGAGTGGATTTGTTTGTAGAGTTGGTGTCACGCTGTTCGCATTGCTCGTTAGGGCTACCAATATTTCACTTGATTATTTCATGTCTGTTGCTGCGCTGTGAAGCTTTTTATTGTTTCTTCCAAGTTGGGTTTATCCTCCTTGTTGTTAGATGATCTTTCCGGGGAGTTTTCCTTAAGTCTGGTGAACCTAAGGTACTTCGATCTTCCGGACACAGACCCAATCCGGGAAGCTCTAAAAAAGCTCATGAGGGAACTACTCAGGTAAAGAAATCCAAAATAGATATGCTTACCGATGAGTATGAGCTTTTCAATATGAAGGATGATGAGTCCATTCAAGGTATACGTATACGGTTTACGTCCATTATCAATGAGCTTCATTCTCTTGGAGAAATCATTCCAACGAACAAGCTGGTCCAGAAGATACTCAGCGTTCTACCGGGTTCTTGGGAAAGTAAGGTGAATGCCATCACTTGAGCCAAGGATGTGCAAAAGTTGACCATTGATGAGCTAATTGGAAATCTCAAAACCTATGAGATAAAGAGAAAGAATGATCTTGAAAGAAGAGAATTCAAAAAGGAGAAGAGCATGGTTCTCAAGGCTGACAACAATGACTCAAGCAGTGATGAATCCACTATGGTTTATCTCACTCAAAGATTCCAAAAGATGGTTCGCAGAAATAGTAGAGTTGCAAAGAGAGGAAGTTCAAGCAAGAACTCCAAATAAAATGATTGCTGTCATAAGCATGGAAAGTCTAAACATTTTATTAAAAATTGTCCTCTTCATAAGTAGGATCACTACAAAAACAACACTACTAAGGCGGCTAAGAGGAACCCCCATGACAGATGGTTCAAAAGAAGTGATGTTGCTGACAACGTGGTGAAGCAAGCAATGGCTGCCTGGGGGAGTTCCTCCGGTGAATCTGAAGGTGAAGATGACCAATGAGATATATTCATGATGGCTGTTGAAAATGAATCCTCAGAATATGATTCTATCTTTGCACTCATGGCCAAATCTGATGATGATAAGGACAAGGAGGAAGATGAGGTAAGTTTTCTTGATGTTCAGAGACACTTGAAACATACTCTCAAAAGAAATTTATGTCATTAGCAAAGGTGTTGATTGATGCATATCATAGCCTTGTTAATTAGAAAAATGCCTTAGCTGAAGAAATTGGTGATGTAGAACTAAAGATGGATGATATGGTAGTTTCCGTTGTATATTTGAAAGAACAAGTGGAAGAAGTAACTAGTGAAAATACCTTGTTGGAAAACCAAATAAAAAAAATGTATGGACACCCCTAAGGGAAAAAAAGTGGCTAGTGAGGCTCAACTTGAGCTTGAGAGCGAGCTTAAGAAAATCAAAACAAGTCTTATTGCCGAACTAGAAAAGAATAGACAACTTTAGGAGGATCTGAAAAGGGTTAAAAATGATCTTGATAAGTCAGTTAACTGGACTTGGTCCTATGATGTAATAACGTATATGTACAAGAGTAATGGTGGAGGCATGCAAGGAATTGGGTTCCAAAAGACCAAAACCCCTTATAGTCCCCATAGCAAGTATGTAAATGTGACTTGATAATTAGTTGTGTACTCATTATGGTCTAACTCACCATTGCAAGAATTCTTGTAAAGCTAAAATTTAGTCTCTGCAGAAAAATAATTTTTTTGTTGAAAAGAAGCCTACTATTGAGGAATCTGGTTCTTTGAGAAGAAAATATGTGCTGCATGCATGGGCAAAAAGAAATTTGATTCACCCATTCTATCATTATAAGGGACCCAAGCTCGCTTGGGCTCCTAAGTCTAATCAATGATCTTGTATGCAAGCTGGTGTGAGAGGAAGTAGTCAAAAATGGTACATGAATAGTGGCTGCTCGAAGCATGTGACTGGAAGAATGGATGATTTCCTCTCACTCACGGCCTTCCAAGATGGGAGTGTCCTTTGGAAATGGCAAAAAAGGTTTTATTCTTGGTGTTGGGAAAATTGGCAAAGCACTATTCTATATAATTGAAAATGTGTACTATGTGAATGGCTTGAAATATAGCCTGTTGAGTGTGTCTCAAATCTGTGACAAGGAAATAAAGTGAAGTTCTTGTCCAAATCTTGCACTGTCACCAATCTCAAAACTGGTAAAGTAGTGTTGATAAGCCATAAGGTTCAAGAACATCTATATTTCACACTTTGACTCACTGAATGGTGGTGATTTAACATGCCTAAGTGCCATTTATGTTGATACTGAGTTATGGCATAGACGACTAGGACATGCAAGCTTCTCTCTGCTTAACAAGTTGATCAAGAAGGACCTGGTTCTTGGGCTTCCCAAGTCAAAGTTCAAGAATCGCAAGATGTGTGATGCTTGTGCAAAAAAGAATCAGATTTAAACCTAAGAAAGGAGCACCTCAAGGCCACTTGATCTTATTCATATGGCTGTTTGTGGACCTATGAGGATTCCAAGTAGAGGAGGAAAGAAGTACATCTTTGTAACCGTGGGCGACTATTAGAGATTCACTTGGAAACTGTTTCTTAGGTCCAAAGATGAAACTTTTCTAGTGTTTGTTGCATTTGTGAGCAGATTCAGGTGAAACTAGGAAATCACATTGCGAGTATCAGATCCAATCATGGTACTGAATTTGACATTGCCAAGTTTGATGAATTTTGTGCTGAAAATGGTGTAAGTCACAAGTTTTTGCTCCTAGATTACCTCAACAAAATGGTGTTGTAGAGAGGAAAATAAGACTCTTAAAGATATGGCTAGAACAATATTGGCTGGCAGTGGTGTGCCTAATAGTTTTTGGGCTGAAGCAGTTAACACCGCCTGCTACTTGATTAACAAATGCATGATCAGGTCCTGCTTGAGAAGACTCCCTATGAACTGCTCAATGGGAGATAACCCAAGCTGACTTACTTGAGAACTTTTGGATGCAAATGTTTCGTTCTTAACAATGGTAAGGAGGCTTTGGGAATATTTGATGCTAAAAGTATCGAGGAAATTTTTCTTGGTTACTCCTCTCAAAAAAAGGCATACAAAGTCTACAACAAAAGAACTCAATGTGTAGAAGAAAGTGTGCATATGATCTTTGATGAATCCCATAAATCAAAAGGTAAAGGGCCACTTAACAAGGAAGATGAAGATTAAGAATTTTCAAAAGTTCCTGGAGAAACCATAGATATTGCCAATGAAAAAACTGATTTGATGAGTCAAGTCAAGTAGAGCGAATAAGAGGATGCAACAGAATCTCCAGAAGGCACATAGGAACCGGGTCCCTCTATTACTTCTACTAAAGTTGAACATAGGGTTGCTGATGATCTATCAATTACTCCTGATTTGAGACAAAGGAGTAGAAGTAATACCTCTGTTGAAGTTAATGATAGTTCAAATATGGAGGAACCTGGTCCCTCGAATCCTGAATTTCAAGTATCCAACTAGAAGCACGAGAGTTCACATCCCTTTTCGATTCTGGTATTCAAACTAGATCTAAGTCAAGAAACATGTTTGCTTTCTCAGCCTTCCTATCTCAAATCAAACCTAAGAACATCAAAGAAGCATTGAAAGATGCTGACTGGATAGTTGCTATACAAGAAGAACTCCATCAGTTCGAGAGAAACAATGTGTGGCTCCTGGTCCCTCGACCTTCAGATAGAACTGTGATTGGAACCAGGTGGACGATCAGGAAAAAGCTTGATGAAGTTGGTAACACAACAAGAAATAAAGTAAAGCTGGTGGTTCAGGGATACAACCATGAAGAAGGGATTAACTATGATGAGACTTTGCTCCTGTTGCTCGAATGAAAGCAATCAAGATTCTTATTGCTTTTGCATCTCATATGGAATTCAAATTGCTCCAAATGGATGTTAAAACTGCCTTTATAAATGGATACTTGTAGGAGGAAGTATTTGTCAAGCAACCTCCTGGCTTTGAATACCATGAGAATCCTGAGCATGTTTTCATGCTTGACAAGGCTTTATATGGTCTGAAGCAAGCCCCTCGAGCATGGTATAGAGATTGCCAAAATTTCTTCTTGAAAATGACTTTACTACAGGGAAAATTGACAATACTTTATTTATGAAAAAAAGAGGAAGAACTGTGTTGATTGTGCAAGTCTATGTTGATGATATTATCTTTGGTGTAATAAATGATTCTCTTTGTGAGGAGTTCGCAAAACTTATGGGAAGTGAATTCGATATGAGTATGATCAGTGAGCTAAATTTCTTCCTTGGGTTGCAATTGAAGCAAACCTCAAAAGGCATCACGATCAGTCAACAAAATTACATCAAGAAGCTGCTGAAAAGATTTGAGATGAAAAATTCTAAGACCATTGATACACCTATTGCCACAGTTACTCGATTAGACATGGATGAACCCGGTTCTCCTGTTAATGAAACTATTTATATGGATATCACTAGATTTCTTATGTACTTGACTACTAGCATACCCGACGTTGTCTTTAGTGTTGGGTTGTGTGCTAGGTTCCAACAAGCCAAAAGAATCTCATTTGAAGGCTGCCAAAAGAATTCTGAGGTATCTCAAGGGAACATAGGACCTGGTCCTCTTTTATCCTTCAGGATATAATTCGACTTGGTTGGATGTGCTGATGCTGATTATGCTGGATATCTGGTGGGTAGGAGGAGCACATTTGGAACGACACATTTTTCGGGGTCATGCTTGATCTTATGGGGTACAAAGAAACAAAACTCTATGGCTCTTTCTACTGCTGAAGATGAGTATGTGGATGTTGCCTCTTGTTGTGCATAACTACTTTGGATCAAGCAAAAACTTGAGGATTTTGGTATATTTACGGATTGCGTGCCCTATTTGTGTGATAATACAAGTGCTCTTACCATGGCACAAAAAGATAGTAATTGCCCATAAAAGATAAAAATCAAACAAAAGTGCTTGTAATACAAGTGCTCTTAACATGGCGTATTGGCTGTTTAACTTGTAATATTTTTATCTACCTTGAAGCTGACTAGAAAATGCTTGGCACATGTTGACTACTGTGATGGCCACATGTTGTATCCGTATTTTACCAATACAAATAGTACTTTTGGTTCCTTCTTACTGATATTTTTTTGTTTTGGTTATTGTGATATTTGGCTAAGCACATTTAACCTCTAATTAATTCAAATGTGTGATTTTGGTCCCTTTATATAGGCAATATCTTATCTTTAGACTATTTTCAAAACCTAATTAAATATTATAACAACTAAATAACTCCTTAAATTTGTGAAAATTCACAAGCATAGGAATCAAAAGTGCACACTATAATTAATTGAAAGTTATATATATGCTTAACCATACATCACAAGGACCAAAATCAGATTTTACTAATAACCGAGGGACCAAAAGTACTATTATTTTTGCACCAGGATAATAAATTTTTATTGCATCTAGAAAAGAAATAAAAATAAATACACTATTGAACTTCATCATTTTGGGTAAACAAAATTTATTTAGCTAAAAATATTATAGTTCCATCAAAATTCTTTTACAAATTTTAAAAACAAAGTTGAAAATATGCTATGTTGGCTAATAAAAAGTTATTCGAATAAAAGAGTTTCGGCCAAATTTTTTATAGATTTGGCTCGAAAAAAAGAAATATGAAATTCAAAAATAGCCAGATTTACAAGTGGTCATTCAAAAATAGCCACAGTTTCAAAAGTAATCGAAATTTAACCATTGTTCATGTAAAGATAAAAATTTGAACGAAAACCCTGTTCAAAATCCGGAAAATACTGACTACACCGTGTACTATTTAGCCGGAATAAAGATATGCACAGTTGGACTCCATGATTATGGCTAAACGTTTTTCATTTAGATAAAAATAATAGAGTTCTAGCTTAGTTTTATCTATAAATTTGGCTCGAAAAAGAAGAATTACACACCGAAACAAATAATCATTGCATCTGAAGAAAAGAAACAAGAAGATATACAGATTTGGAACAAATAAATCATTGTATATGTTTATGTGTTAATTAACGGATGGAAAATTACCCACTTTGAAGTCGATTTTTCAATTTTTTCACTCTCACGCGCCTGCAAGAAAATTTATTTACGCTCTTTGTCACGACAACATCTAGGAGAGAGGTCAAGGCTATTAAATTGTTAAGTTCAGGGGTGGGGGTGGGGTAATCAAGACAAAAAATAGTTTAGGTGTGCATTGAATAAAACGTATCAAATTCAACAGGGTTCCGAAATATTGTGCCAAATATATTTGATACACTAAATATGGAAGCAAATTAGTTCATGTGACACCATT